AGTAAGGTCAGGTGAAGTAAGGTCAATTAGAGTCAGGTCAGGTGACGTAAGTAAGGTCAATTAGAGCTGGTGAAGCCGTATGTGACCAAGTGGGTGGTTTGGTGTTGAGGGACTTCACCTAGGTAACCACGCGATGAGGGATGGCGGTAGTTGTGGTAGTTGTTGTGGTGGTGGTAGGTTGTTGGTGGTGGTAGGTGGTGGTGGTGGTGGTGTTGGTGGTGGTGGTAGTGGTGGTCGTAGTTTATTGGTTGTAGTGTGTGTGTTGGTGGTGGTGGTAGTGGTTAATCATCCTCTTCTCTTTTTTCTTTTCTCTTTGACAACTTTAAGGTACTAGAAAGTTTGAAGATAATATAATTAAAGTAAAAAATTATTGTGAAGCCGAACACAAAGTTTTTGAAAGAGAGAGAGAGAGAGAGAGAGAGAGAGAGAGAGAGAGAGAGAGAGAGAGAGAGAGACGAACTCAATCCCTATAACAATAATATCACATTTAAAAAAAATCGACAAATAAAAACAATAATTTTCTTAATATATACAAACCTCTTGCGTCAATATCAGTATATATACACACGGTGAAAATAACAACAAAACAAAGAACTATAAATATAACAAGAGATAATGAACAATAATAACACACACACACATTAAGAGATAAAACAATAACAGGATAAAAAAAATAGATAAGAACGTGATAATAGATGAATATAGTAATAACAGTAATAAAAGAGATATAAAAAAAAACAAGAATATTTAAAGAACTCACATGAACAGTAGTGAGATAAGATAAGAGGAGCAAGAACACAACAGACGTAAGCAACAGATGGATAAGAGTAACACAACAAAAGATCAGAATATGGGTACAAGAGATAATAATGATAAGAGAATAACAGAGATAACAACAATACTAAATCACTGGTCAATAACCGTACAATAACAGATAAAATACAGTTATAGGTGTAAACAGACAGACAGATACCTACAACAGGAGATAATAGCAACAGACACAGATAACAAAGTGCAATAATAACGGCAAGACATAAGCAACAGGCAACAGAAGTAGCACAACAGAGACAAAGATGACGTAACAGAGGTATTAATAACAGAACAACAACAGTAAACAGAAGGCAGGAGTAACAGGAGGAAGTAATAGACAGATAGAGAGACAACAGTAAGAAAATTAACAGAAGGAGCAACAGATATAACGACAAGAAACCAACAGAGAGAGAGAGAGAAATGAAATAGATAGCAACAGTACTAATTTAACGGTAACAGTAACCTAGAAAAATGAGACAATAAAACAGAGAAGGAAAACAGACAATAATAATAACAAAGGAAGAAAGAATAACACGATAAATAAAGAATACGAGATGAAAATAACACAATAAAACGGAAAAATAATAATAAAAAGGTGATAATAACAAGAACATAAGGCGGTAAAAATAACAATAAATTTTTTAGGCAAAACAATAACAAAATGAGGTGAGGTTATATTTGGATTTGTAGCGAGCAGGCAGCCTCAAGGTTAGCGAGCCGTGGCTTTACCGTAAACAAAAGTCAGCTGATAGATGTAAACATTGAAACGATATTTAAACGACCTGCGCTAAAAATCAGCTGACAGATATAAACATTGAAACGATGCTAAAGCGACCTAAGGCTAAAATAACCACAATACCTCAACAATTATCTAACTCCATCCGGAATTAAAAGACGAATTAATTAGAAAAAGAATAATCCTCGCATTCTCCTATGGTAATTAATCAAACGAGTGAATTAAGAAAATGACAATTCACACAATTCCTACAAGACTAGACATACGATTTAACTACAAAAAAAATACCTATCACACGCAATTAAGTCCCATATATCAGAAGGTCAATAAAACGATCTAATTTTCGTTCATTTTTTTTTGGTATTTATAAAAAATAGTCATGCGTATAATACTGTAAGTCCATAAAAAAAGCTGATAAAATTACAATAACCCCAGTTTTTTAGTATTTAGGAGAAAAATAATTTATTCGCACAAAGACAAGAAGCATAAATAGACGAAATGGATAAAAGAGCTAATAAAGAGAATAGCAGAATAAGAGGATAACAGACAAAAATATGTATTAGACAAAGATTGATAATATAATGGAGAGAGAGCGTAGATGTTGAGTAATGGAGACGATATTATTTATTAGGAAACGTAACCGATATTTTTACCTTATATTTGTCATTATATCTACTCTTACACCTACCCTCACACCTCCCCTTACTCCTACCCTGACATCTCCTTACTCCCACCCTGACATCTCCTCATCTTCACCCCTGACACCTCTCCTTACTCCTACCCTGACACCTCCCCCTACTCCCACCCTGACATCTCCCTTACCTCACCTCACATCTCCCCCTCACTCCTACCCCCACACCTCCCCTTACTCCCCACCCCACACCTCTCCCTACTCCCACCCCTCACTCCCCCCACTCCCCGCCCCACACCTCCCCACTCCCTACCCCGACACCTCCCCTTACTCCCCACCCTGACACCTCCTTACTTCTACCCTCACACCTCCCCTTACTCCCACCCTCACACCTCCCCTTACTCCCTACCCCTGACCTCCCCACTCCTCACCCCACACCTCCCCACTCCCCACCCCACACCTCCCCACTCCCTCACCCCACACCTCCCCTACTCCCTCACCTCACATCTCCCCTTACTCCCACCCTGACATCTCCCCACTCCTACTCCCCACCCCCACACCTACCCTCACACCCCCCCTTACTCCTCACACCCCACACTCCCCACTCCTACCCCCACACCCCTTACTCCCCACCCCACATCTCCCCACTCCCCACCTCACATCTCCCCACTCCTACCCTGACATCTCCCCACTCCTGCCTCACCTCCCCTTACTCCTCACCCTCACATCTCCCTTACTCCACCCTGATCTCCCCCACTCCCCGCCCCACACCTCCCCCTTACTCCTACCCTGACACCTCCCCCACACCTACCCTCACACCCCCACTCCCCACCCCACATCTCCCCACTCCCACCCCCACACACCACATCTCTACCTCACCCCACACCTCCCTACTCCCTCACCCCACACCTCCCCCTTACTCCCTCCCCCCACCCTTCTGGCAGGTGTAGGTAGCTCACACCCACACCCGCATCTACACCTACACTCACACCCTACACTTACACCCACAACACCTAACCCCACACCCACAACTACACCCTACCCACACCTAAACTTGCACCCATAACACCTAAACCCACGCCCACACTCTATCTACACCTTACCCACACCTACACCCCACCCATACTTACACCCACATCCATATCCACACCAACCCCTACACCCTCACCTTCACTGACATCCACACCCACACCTACACCAACGCCCACACCTACACCCACATCTACCCACACCCACACCTATACCCACATCTACATCCACACCTACACCCCACCCATACTTACACCCACATCCATATCCACACCAACCCCTACGCCCACACCTTCACTGACATCCACACCCACACCTATACCCACATCTACATCCACACCTACAGTCCTAAACCCACATATACACCTATACTCACCTATATCAACAACTACCCCCCCCCACACCTACACCCACATGTACACACATACCTACACCCACCTACACCCACACCTAGACCCATATCTATACACACCTACACTCACAACTAAACCCACATCTATACCCACACCCACATCTATACCCACACCCACATTTGTCCTACATCCTCACCCACATCTATGCCAACTACCCGACCTACAACCACACATACACCCAGACCCAGATCTACACCGACACCTACACCTAAATCTAAACCCACATTTAAATCCACACCCATATCTACACCCACATCTATACCCACAACTACACCCACATCTACAACCACATATACAGTATACCCACACCTATAACTACGCCCATAAATACACCCACATCTACAGTACACCCACATCTCCACCAACACCTACATGTACACCCACCTTCAACTCGTCGAGGTACAGTCAACCCTAGCTCTAGTACTCACCATTGTTATTTATGATCACGAGAAGTTTCCAAATGTTTGTATGTTTACTTAAAATTTTCTTCGTTATTTGGAAACTTCTCGTGATCATAAATAACAATGGTGAGTACTAGAGCTAGGGTGAGGTCGATGGGTCTTTGGTTGACTGTACATACACACACCAACACAATCATCTGTAGTAATATTATCACTACATAAAACATGACAAAAACAAAACTTCAGTATGTAATAATAATAATAATAATAATAATAATAATAATAATAATAATAATAATAATAATAAATAATGATAATAATCATAATAAAAACAAAAATAATAATAAAAAGAACAACAATAATAATAATAATAATAATAATAATAATAATAATAATAATAATAATAATAATAATAATAATAATAATTATTATTATTATTATTATTATTATTATTATTATAAACAATAATAATCATAAAATATAAAAAACTAAATTAAGACTGATAAAAATAATAAAAAAAAATTCATAACAATAATAAAATAAGAATAAAAACAATAATAAAACAATAATAATAATAACACCAATAATGAACCATTTCAACACAGTCCCCAGTTTATCCAAGCAAAAAATATTCGCCATGCAACATAAGCAGTCCATGTTAAAAAACGCGTAGAGGCAACTGTCTAGCAGTACAGTATATGAACGCTTTAAAAAACGCTAGTCTTATAGATTTAAACCAAAATTGATATATATACTGAATATATATATAAAGTGTGTAAGATGAGGACCCGAGCTGGATGGTGTCATGCTGTGTGTGTTGGCAGGTGTATGTCTGTCCAGGTGTGTGTGGTCAGGTGTATGTTTGTGCAGGTGTGTAGTCAGGTGTATATCTGTGGACAGGTGTGTGGGCAGGTGTATGTCTGTGCAGGTGTGTGGGCAGGTGTACGTGTGTGTGATGCCTACAAGTGACGGGTACTCACCAAGAAGCCTTAAGACACTGTGGTCGCTGAGCTCGGCGGCTGCCAGCAGAAAGAGGAAGGCAAATTTTGGAAGTTGACACACGATAGAGAAGACAGTTGAGAGGTGGAGGAGATGAAGGCCACCACACAGTCAATATTATACAAAAAAAATTATCATAACAACAACAACAACAACAACAAAACAACAACATTACAAACTAACTCATCGGGTTGTGTCTCTCAAGTAAAATCAATCACAAATAAAAAATATTGTCTGATCGATTGTTATGATGATTAGTATTGATTATTTTAAGTATAAACTAACCTGATATTTATGTGTGAGATGATGTTAACAGGAAGAAATGGGTGTGGGAAAGGAGGGAAGGGAGGAGGATGGGGAATGGAGGGAATGGAGGGAAGGGAATAGGCTTGTGTAGGTAAGTAAGTCAACTGACCATCACTCAATTAGCAGTCACCATCACTCTCACAGCCAACAATGACAACCTTCTCACATCATCATCATCATCATCATCATCATCATCATCATCATCATTATTATTATTAATATTAATACACAAATATAACACAGCAACAAATTATTATTATTATTTCACTAAGTTCAACTCGTGATTAAATTGCCTCAAACACATCAAAACAAAGAGGAAGAATTTTGGTTACAATAAAATACATAAAATTGGTTAAAACACACAACACAACACCTTAAAATTACATCACAGTTATAAATCACTTATGTTACCTACAACACAATATACAACACCTTCTGATCGCAACACCAGAATTATTATCTAGTTTTTTTTACGTATTATTGAATTTTATTTCACCCGATTTATTATTATTAATCTAAGCTTACCTGGCCAGACCTGACTGTATCTCTCCTTACCTGGCTTGACATGACGTGATATCACCTCAAATTACATGTCTTCTAATATCTTACTTGACCTGATCTATCCTGTCACATTCAAGAGTTGTCATTGTTCTTCTCGTGCTGCGTCTATTCTTGACTTACCCTGATATCTCAACAGCTGTTATTTCTCCATATCATGAATTGCTGTTTTGACCTAACCTGATCTACCCTAACCTGACCTCATCTGACCTACTCTCACCTAAACTCATCTGACCTAATCTCACCTGACCTCACACCTCAATGAGACGTTAACACATATGAACATAATAACATAAGAATGGAGGAAACTGCAGGCGTTCTATTGGCCCATACTGGACAGTCAGTTTACACCCACCTCCTATCGCTCATATAGCCGAGACTTACTGCCTCACACCCCTGTACTCACACAGTTGTGAATAGGTTACCTTCTATGCATAGAAGTAAACAAAGAATTTTTTTGAAATACTCTATAACATTCAATGTCATAATATCCTGACCCTTTGTGAACTCTACTCTGTAATCATTTTGCCCTACCGCTCATAGGATGAGTATGGGGTGCACAATAAACTAACCACTGTAAATGGCCAAAAAATAAAAAATAATCATATATCCGTCCAACCTTTGTTTGAAGCTATCCAGCGTATTACGAGTTAATGATGATGTTTGATAACTTGTTCCACTCATCCAAACCAATGTTTACCTATCTCGCGCCTAAATCTAGATTTGTCTAATTTAAAACCATTGCTACGAGTTCGCTCCTGGTTGGTTAGTTTGAGTACCTTTGTTATATCACCTTTGTTTAGCCCTGACTTCCATTTATACTCCTCGATCATGTCGCCCCACACTCTACGTCTCTCGAGGGAGTGCAAATTAAGATGCTTTAACCTGTCTCTGTACTCAAGGTTCTTAGTGACCCTAAGTTAATATTAATAAGTGTATCTAAACCAAAATTTTATCAACATACTGTAATAAAAATAGGAGACTAGGCAACCCAACTTATTTTACCTGATGATTAAACACCCTAACGTTACCTGTAGGAGTTAGGTTAGGTTATGGTAGTTTAAGTTAGGTCAGGTTGAGTTAGGTTAGGTTGGATTATGGAAGTCTAAGTTAGGTTAGGTTAGGAACTCATTTAACCTACAACCTAAATAAGATGTTAATGACCGACACACACACGGAACTATCTCCCTACTATTACACCTGCAGGAGGCCATGATGGGGAGGAGGAACCCATTAGCTTAAAAGGTACTAAAACAACACACCTGTGCTCCACCCTTCCTCGGCCCTAACCCTCACCACACACACTCACACCTTCACCACACACACTCACCTCACAAGACACACTCAGACCATCCCAAGACACACTCACACCTTCACCACACACACTCACACCCTCCCAAGACACACTCACACCTTCACAAGACACGCTCACACCTTCACCACACACACTCACACCCTCCCAAGACACACTCAGACCATCCCAAGACACACTCACACCCTCCCAAGACACACTCACACCTTCACAAGACACGCTCACACCTTCACCACACACACTCACACCCTCCCAAGCCACACTCAGACCATCCCAAGACACACTCACACCCTCCCAAGACACACTCACACCTTCACAAGACACACTCACACCTTCACAAGACACACTCAGACCCTCACAAGACACACTCAGACCCTCACAAGATACACTCAGACTTACACCCTCACCTCACAAGTGTTAATTTCAACGAAGGGTGAACAATACTGGTGGTAGGTCTGGATTACCCTCCGAGTGTACTGTAAACTTTAAATTAAAGACGAACTAGGTGTCGGCTCTCTGTTACAGGTGTGTGTGTGTGTGTGTGTGTGTGTGTGTGTGTGTGTGTGTGTGTGTGTGTTGCTGTGACGGCTTCCTCTTCTTTCCCATCCTCTTTCGCATTTTCCTCATCATCTTCTTCTTCCTTCTCCCTCCTCTCATCATCATTTTCTTCCTCATCCTCCTATTCTCCCTCCTCTTGGTCCCTCTCTTCTCTCTTCCCTCATATATCCCCTCTTCGTCCCCTTCCTCTTCTCCCCCTCCCTTCCTCTTCTCCCCCCCCCCTTCCTCCTCCTCCTAGATGCAGCAGTAGTCACCATCAACACTGACCTAACTCTCCAAGGGGGGTCAACCTCAGGCCATATCCAGAGAGGTCATAAGGTCGAGGATGAGGTCAAGGAAGAGTGAGTATGTGTGGGCCTTTCTACCATTAGCCTTCTCTTCCACCTCGTTCCCCTCCTTCTCGTTCCCCTCCTCCTCGTTCCCCTCCTCCTCACCACTACTAAACTACCGCTAATGTCTTCATAAACCTTTAATAAAGTCACAAATATTCAACTGAGTGCCACCTCTCTCTGGAAAAACAATAATACAGAATAAAAGACTGTATTTTCCAACAGTTAATCAGATACAAAAGAATAATACAAAACTAAAATACACAAATAACACAACAGTGAACTACAAAATAACAACGTAACACTGACATACAAACAAATAACATAACAGTGGAATACAAAATAACATAACAGTGGAATACAAAATAATAAAAATACAGTCACACTACAGTATAAGTATATTTTGTATGTAGTGAAAATGATGATGTAGAATTATGAAAAACAGTCAAACAGATAGGATGTTTATTTTGTTGTAATGATAAATGGACAGCGTTGAGTAATGACTGGTGTATATGTTCGCTGGTTAAAGGTTCACTACCACAACTACTACCAGCCACCACTATTACCAGCCACCACTACCAGCCATTACCAGCCATCACTACCAGCCACCACTATTACCAGCCACCACTATTACCAGCCACCACTATTACCAGCCATCACTATTACCAGCCATCACTACTACCAGCCACCACTACTACCAGCCACCACTATTACCAGCCACCACTATTACCAGCCATCACTACTACCAACCACCACAACTACCAACCACCACTATTACCAGCCACCACTATTACCAGCCATCACTATTACCAGCCATCACTACTACCAGCCATCACTACTACCAGCCACCACTACTACCAGCCACCACTATTACCAGCCATCACTACTACCAACCACCACAACTACCAGCCACCACTAAGACCAACCACCACAACTACCAACCACCACAACTACCAACCACCACAACTACCAACCACCACAACTACCAACCACCACAACTACCAACCACCATGAATCTATCACCATCAGTATCATCACCCACCACGTTATCTATCACCAATATCACCATCACTATTGCCATCATCACTACTCATCACCATCACTACTCATCACCATCACCTACCACACACACACACACACACACACACACACACACACACACACTACAAAAAAATAATTCCCCTCATTGTACATGTTAATAAAATTAGTGGGAGGAACATAATGCAATTTGTGGAGGCATTGAGGAGTGGCGGCTGGAGGTGGGTGGCGGCTTTGTTGTGAGTTACCCTGAGTTACCCCAGCCGCCATTGTCAAGAGCCGAGGAACACACAGCCTCTCCATAAAACTCAGTCATTGTCTATTACTCTCTTTTTTTCTTTTCCTCCTGTCATGTGTGTGTGTGTGTGTGTGTGTGTGTGTGTGTGTGTGTGTCAGTCCAGGGGTAATAAACTCAATGGTGTATATACGGTTCATTTATATACTGTACTCAACTGTACTTTCTTCTTTATGGCAACCAGAAAGTGACCTAACATAACCTAACCTTCCTTTACCCACGACCATATTTGAACTACATTTAACAATATCATCTTTAAAATTCTCTAACATTTACAATAACTTAATCCTCGTGTACTTATTCCCATTCATTACTTTACATACAACATTCAACATTATTAATTTTTATAAGGTAAACATCGAGGACTCTGTTTACATTTAGACGTAGGATCCCTTATACACAGCTTCCGCCCCACCGCCGCCATCTTGTAACAACAGAGAATTTGCCCACCTCAAGACCAGCGCCTCGTAAACTATACAATAAAGGTATTAACTCCCACAGTCCCTCACCGCCCTGTTTATGGGATCAATAACTGGCCCGTAAAAATATTTTGGTGACCCCATTACCAAAGGTCAAAGGTGAGGATAGGGAGAGGAGGGGAGGGGGGGGGGAGGAAGGAGAGGA